CCACTGAACTGCCCGTATTTGCCCTTGTTCTTGTCAGCTGGCTTCAGAATCTGCAGGAAAAGGGGGTACAAAAGGTAAGGGGGGGGCCACATGTTTCACCCCATCCTGCCCCAGCACTCTGCTCCCCTCCTGCACTGAGGGTTGAGGCGTCATTGAGCGCGCTCCCTTTGCCCCTGTGAATTAGGGGCCTCCTGTGGGCACCAGGGTCTGTCCTGTGTGTCCCCCCCTTCACCCCTGCAGTGTCCCACCTGAAATGAGCACATGAGGGTCTCATCCACGCTCATCATGGCCCCCGCGTTGTCGAACTCCCCGCAGTAGTTGGGTGCTGAGAAGAGGGTGACGAGCTGGCGCTTGGCGAAGAACTCGTAACCGTCCTCCACTACCTGCACAGGCATCACAGGGCTGAGCTGCACCCCAAGAGCACCCCCCCGAAGTCAGGCACCTCCCCAGGACCCCCACTCGTGTGATCCAAAGAGTTCCAGCCCTGGCAGTGTTCAAGGCCGGGTTGGACACAGGGGCTTGGAGCAACCTGCTCTAGTGGAAGGTGTCCCTGCTCATGGCAGGGGGTTGGAACTGTTAAGCTCCCTTCAACCCAAACCATTCCATGAAATATTGCCCCTGAGGGGCAAATCTTAGGGGTAGAAACACCCACCCTGTGCCAAATACCCCCCTGGGGACCCAAACCCGCACCTGGTGCGCCCGGCAGATGAGGTCCAGGTCGTGCTTGTGCAGGAACTTTGCCACCACCTCGGCCCCGAAGGTGAAGGAGACACCACGGTCGTTCTCACCCCAGCCCTGCACGTCCTTGTCAGGGTCAGACCAGAGCAGGTCACAGAGGAGGCCCTGATCCGGGACATCCGTGGGGCGCATGATCCGCCGGATCTGCTCCATCGACTGCAGGTCGGGAGACAGCCCTATGGGGAAAGGGTGGGGTTACATCAGGTCCTTCCTCTTCATCAGCACCCCCTGGGGCAAAAGCCAGCCCAAAGGCCCAGGCGGGTCCCTGCCCACCTCCATGGCAGCAGAAGATCTTCTCGTCCACGATAGCAGCAATGGGCAAACAGTTGAAGCAGTCGGTGAACGTCTTCCAGAGCTTGATGTTGTATCGCCGCTTGCCTGCAAGGCAGGGGGTGCAGGTGCCAAG